GGCACTCCAAGCCAGGACTGCTTTGCAAGCGGGGAACCCCTGAGAACTTTCTGTCCGGGGTGGGGGTCGGGTCCCTTTAAACACAGCCCTCAGCTAGCCTGAGACAGCAGCTCCTCACTCTAAGTCCTCAACTGATGCCCTGCCGGTACTGCTTCCGGTCATCTTTAACTTCGGTTCAGGGTCCACTCAATGTGGACATGCTAGTTCAAATTAGCAAAATGCTAATTCAAACTAGTTTTTAGGTCTAGATGCACTAGTTCGAATTAGCTTAGTTCGAATTAACTAATTTGAATTAAGTTAGTTTGAATTAGTGCTGTAGTGTAGACATACCCTTAGGGAGTTATCATCAATGCTTCGCAGTCATGGTAGAAGACCATAGAAACTGGGGTTCCACAGGGATCAGTTTTGGGACTGGTTCTAGTTAATATCTTCATCAATTATTTAGATGAAGGCATAAAGAGCACACTTATGATGTTTGCAGATGACACCAAGATGGGAGGGATTGCAAGTGCTTTGAGGACAGGGTTATAATTCAAAATGAGGTAAATAAAATGAAGTTCAATAAGATCAAATGTAAAGTACTCCACTTAGGGAAAAACAATCAGTTTCACACATACAAAATAGGAAATGACTGTCTAGGAAGGAATACTGCAGAAAGGGATTTAGGGGTCATAGTGGATCATAATCTAAATATGAGCCAACAGTGTGACCCTGTTGCACAAAAAGCAAACAATTTTGGGATGCATTAAAAGGAGCATTTTGAGCAAGACAGGAGAAGTCATTCTTCCTTTCTACTCTGCACTGATTAGGCCTCAACTGGAGTGTTGTGTCCACTTTTGGGTACCACATTTCAAGAAGAAATTGGAGAGGGTTCAGAGAAGAGCAACAAAAATGATTAAAGGTCTGAAAAAACATGACATATGAGGGAAGATTGAAAGAATTGGGTTTGTTTGATTTGGGAAAGAGAAGACTGTGAGGGACATGATAGCAGCTTTCAAGTACCTACGTGAATGTAACAAGCAGAATGAAGAAAAAATATTCCCTTTAACCTCTGATGATAGGACAAGAAGCAATGGGCTTAAATTATAGCAAGAGTAGTTTAGGCTGGACATTAGGAAAATCTTCCTAACTGCTAGGATGGTTAAGCACTGGAGTAAATTGCCTAGAGAGTTTGTGGAATCTCCGTCATCTGAGATATTTATGAACAGGTTAGATAAACATCTATCAAGGATGATTTAGATTGTGCTTGGTCCTGCCATGAAGGATGACTGAATCTGATGATCCCTTGAGATCCCTTCTAGTTCTAGTATTCTATGATTCTATGATAACCAGAATAACTGAAGGAAGAGGTAATATGTTTTACTAGCATCTTTTCATCACACACATGCTGACTAGCAATTATGGCAAACTAAATGGTTATATATTCCACAACTATCTTTTTAGAAATTTCTGTGTGGCTTCAAACAAACAATAATTGTTCAAAAGTTTAAGAGGCCCTGGAAGTCCCTCAGTCAACTCCATCTGTTAACTACATTTCTCATCTCTGAAACTAAGCATACTCCAAGTCTCACCAAGCTGTAAGTCTAGAAAAATTCAAGAGTGTGAGGGAATTGGTGTCATTGGCATACTGAGAACTTGTAATAATGCACCATAGTCTCTCTCCCCTCTTTTCATGTTTGGGTTATTAACATCAGTATTAATGCAGGGAGTTATGCTTCAGTGTTGTATTTCACAATGTAATTGCCCTTAGAATAATTAAGAAAGGGAAAATGCTTCAGTTCTTTATTTTTCATGTGTAGATTACAATTGTGGTGAAATCAGTTATTGTAAAAGAATAAAATGAAAAAACATGACAAGTTTTATGCTAAATCTTGAATGAGAAAGGAAATGAGGATAAAATGTGAATTCTGGAAAAACTATAACATCTACGTAAGGAAAGAAAAGTTATGCTTGGATAGGCATACAGTCTCTCCAAGTATAATAAATCCACAATAAACATATGTCACCTGGAAAATTATTTCAAAACTTTTATAGCAGAATAAGAATTAAACAAAGTACAAATCTGTTCTACTTCCCTTGAAAAATATGCACTTTGTTGTTACTTACATAAGTGTGTCATTTACAGAGCGTTTCCAGCTGTGCCTTGTCAGCCTACGGACCAAATGCATTGTGCTGCTTTTCATTTTCCCAAAGTGAGGTTTTTAGTTTTCTGAATAACTTATTAGATGATTCTCTGAACACCAGAAAAGAACAGCACTTTGTCCCCAGGGAAAAAAGCTATTTCAGACTTCACTAAGGAGTCATCTAACATGTTTTAACAACTCCGACTATTGCTCTCTTTGTTTTAAAGATACCAGTCTGGTTTTGTTTCATTTGGAACTGGAGACTAAATGACATCAAGCAGAATCTACTTTTAGGTTAGATTACCAGGTAAAAGTATGTTTTACTTTTTCAATTATTGCTTACAGAATGGTATTGAATTGTTTAAACTACATGTTAATGGTGTGGTGTTTAATATATTGCAAATATGTTTAAAGTTAACAAGATTAGTTGTTTATAGAAATACTATATATATAAAAGCTTTTCTAAATTAAGGAAGTATGCATTTTTGGGTGATCTTGGCTTCTTTGTTCCATATGAATGCTTGGCATAACTAATCATAATTAATTTCAATAACAGTATGATAATGTTTAGAAATAATTTTAATCCTAATGCATAGTGAGAGAAAAATTCAGAGATTTCTGTTCTTACTCTGAATAGAGTCACACAAAGAAAGTATGCAATACTCCCTGAGGAGTGTTTCTGAAGGATCATTTGTTTAGAAATTAACTCTTTCCTGTCACATAAGGCAAAATAACAGAAACTGAACACAGTGAGAAAGAAAAACTAAGTGGCAATTAATTACACATGGTAGGTGAACAGCAAAGAAAATCCTTATACAAAAGCATGACTTAAACATTTTTGTAGAAAATATATCCTATTAACCCAATCGACAAAATCTACTATATTGGGCAAAACTATTGGTTAGCATATTAAGAAACAATTACAAGAGTATTTAATTAATTTCAACATATCAATTAGCTCTGCAAGTCACAGTGTTGGTAATATGCAATGATTTACAGTTATATTTCAATTGTTCAAATTTAAATTTGTTTTAATTTTCATTTGATTAAAATTTGACTACACAGTGCTAAATATTATGTTTGCTAATTCAAGAGTGTAAACAATGGGGGCAAAAGGTACCACCAGTTGATTGTATGGCCTTTTTTTCCTCTCATCAGTCAAGCATACTAGCTGGAAAAATTATAGCATTATACTTCCATTCAGCTTTGAGAAATTAATGTGCTTGATTCTAAAATATAGCACTTGAGTTCACATACATTAGCAGGAATTGATTACATAAACTAGTTTTACTTTACCTTACTGAAAATCTAGTTATGGTGTAGTTTTACTTTGTGATACCTGTAATTAGCACTGCAGTCCCACAACTGCAAGAATGATTCCAAAGTTAATACAGCCTCTTCCCGACTTATGAACCGGTTACGGACCAAGCAATTGGTCGTAACTTGGTTTATTCGTAAGTTGGACCCCATAGAGTTACATGCGACCGTGCTGTTCGTAAGCGCGGATCGCATTTGTAACTCGGGGTCTGCCATTTACGACAGCTTTGGTCGTAACTGCGAACGGTCGTAAGTCGACTGTTTGCAACTCGGGGACCGGCTGTACAATGAAATTGATAGGTCTGAATTCTAAAAATATATGTAAGAAGTATGGGAAAGATATAATGTAATATCGGTAAACCTCTGGTTACAAGAATGAGTTATAATTATCTATTGAAACAATCACTGTTCATTTACAATTAAATTCTTGTGTATGTAATTACAGTCACAATATTATACAATGTAACCTGAAGATGTAACTGTAAAGGTGCCACTGAGTGCTTGATGTCATGCGAAAATCATCTCTTTCAAACCTTTTAAAGTTTGGTCCATCTATTGTTCTGTAACCTACTGGGCAGATTTATCGAAAATCAAAAGTCAATTACAAATCACACACTCACAAAAAAGATTAAGCCACTTCCCCTTGGTCACATCCGTAATAATAAGAAACAGGAAACAATCTTTGAAAAAAGGCACCATTTAGGATATTTCATGAGTTTCTGTGTTTGGAATGTTCATTAATATTTGTTTCTCATAAGAAAAAATGTACCAATATTCAATGTCACAGTGCATATAGCATAATGGAGGATGTAGATCCTACTGATCGAAGAAGGCACTTAGGTGTAATATATCCTGGATTCTGTTCACAACTCTCCCACTAGATCGGTATATGAACCTGGGTGAGAGATATAACCTCACTGTACCTCAAGTTTACCCATCTGTAAAATAGGAATAAAACGTACCTAGCTTAATTAATGTTTGGTAAAGTACTCATACATCCTCAAATAAAAGCAGTTAAATAAAGATTATTATTATAAAGAGGTAAGTACAAACTTACTCTTCTAAACTTATTTACTAACTTCTTGTACAATAACTAAAATCTGAAAACTCCGCTACAAGAGTCTTGAAAAACATGGAAGCCATCATATGCTTTGTGTCAAGGAAATCGGATAGTCACATACACACATTATGTATACTCTCAACATAACAAACCAAAAACTAGTTTAAGCCTTAAAATTACAGAAAATGTAGGGTTTTGTGGGTGCTTTGTGTAAGAAAGAGCTTATAAAAATGTAATGCCCATGCATGTGTATTGTAAACATGTGATTATGGTTTCCACAGGATATACAAAAGTTTTGGTATTGTAAAAAGATCTACATTTCTCAGGCTTTGATATATACTCAAGATGTCATGCAAGCAATTTCATCACTAATACTATGCAAATATGAAAAACAGCAGCAATTTCCCAAGAAATATTTTTTTATAAAATGGACACCTAAAAAGATATCAGCTACTAATGTTTACCTTTCCTAATATTGAAGGCACTAGCATTTTAAATGGATCTTGTACTGTAATTTGTGAAAGTATAAATTTTAAAAGGAACTTCATTTTTGCCAATTGTTGGGATCCCAAAATATTGCCATTTTGAATCTTGTTTTAAGTGAAGTCTATTTTTGCATTTGAACTATTCTAGCTAATATGGCAGAGGCCACCAAACTATGGTGACTATTCCATGGGGGGGGGGGGGAGAGGGTCAGAGGAATGTTGGGGGAAGTATGGTAGGGTACAGGTCAGGGCCCACTGGGCAAATGAAAGCCTTGCTCTGGCACCACTCCCAACTTCAGCACCATACCTTGCCCTGCTAAGCCTTAGCCACAACTATGTCTTGGCCACAGCTTCTGCTCTCAACTCTAATCCCTGATCATGAGGAGTAACGGTAGTTCAAATTAGAAAGCCTAATTCGAACTATCTACTCCGTGCCGGGTGTAGCCGCGGGCACGGAGTCCGCACCAAGGGGGATTTAAAAATGGTGGCGCCTGGCAAGATGCAAATGAAGCCTGGGATATTTAAATCCCGGGCTTCATTTGCAACTTCGAATGCCTACATTAGCCACAGAGAGAGAGAGAGAGAGAGAGAGAGAGAGAGAGAGGAGAGAGAGGTTTGCATGAACACACACACACACACACACACACACACACACACAGAGTTGGGGGGGGTGAGATGAGTGAAAAGATTGAGGACCACTGACCTAGAGTAATGCAACCCTTATTTTAAGTGTATGACAAAAATTCAAAAGACTGTGAACACTTAACAGAATTAACTAAACATTTCATTTGGAATAACAAAAAGTCAGTATGACCAAGGAAAGCCAGTGCCAGAACAATATCTCTGCTAATCCCTAATGTGCTCAGTGCTTTACAAGCACAAAGATAAATACAAAACCTCCTTGAAGAGCTTAAGATAGAAAAGCCTTTAATGTAAGGATGTAGTCTAGTCTATAAAGGTGATAAGATATATTCCAAATCACAAGTCCTCATCAGAGAAGATCTCATTTTTATCATCTTTGCAGGATCCAAGGTTGTCACAATAAGACAGAGGACACAAAACTGTTAAAATACTTGCCACATATTTCTCTTTTTGGAATGCATTCCACACATGAAAAACAGCTGTGTGGTATGTTTGCTGCATTCCAGAAAATGTTTTTTTAACCCTGCTCATTGGTGACAGTAAACATAATTTGATAACTGGTTCAACATAAGAGCTTCATGACCTTTAGCCATTTTGAGATGTATTTTTAATAGCATAGAAGAAAATTCAATATGGAACAAGCCTTTCGGATTATAGTCCTAATGTAATTCACTAAAGATGGTTTGGGACACAACAGAAAAAGGTGGATTTGCCAGGATATGAATTACCCAGTTCTTCTTAAGGCATACAGATCCTGTAGTACTGAGACAATAATGTTGGTCAAGGCTTAGAGAAAGTATTCCTTCAATTACAGCCATCAATGAACTCTTGTCTGCTGCCTGGGCTGGAGGCACGATATGTAGCTAACAGAAAGCTAGCAATTCTTCTCTGAGAGTACACTGAACTATCATTATAAACTTCAATGCAGCCCCAAATAGTTGTTACTAGTTAGTTACTAGTAAGGAAGGGCCAGTTACTTATTAGATGAGAAATAAAAACATAGTTGGCAGTTTGGATCTGGAAATCTGTTCCATCTTCAGGAAGGGATTTCCACATACGTGCTGCCCGAACACATATTAGGTGCTTATCTGTTAAAAAAAGTTAGCCATGTATTCAGGGCTATATTTGAATTAAAGTGTACTGCTCTACTATGGAGTCATAACACAACTGGTTATGTTGCTCTACTATGGAGTCATAACACAACTGGTTGGAGAACTCTATCACCGCTGACTTTATCCAACAATTAAACCATCCATGCCAATCTGCCGTTTTCGGACATGGAAGCAGTCTAAGCATTTTCTGATAACTGTCCTTTAAACTTACAGTGAATAACGTATACTACAAAAAGCTGTATTTGAATTTCACTTTTTCTGTTTCAGGGCACTGCTTGTGAAGGGAAAAACATGCAGACTACATCTTTGTTTTATTATTTCCTGTTTGTCAGTTTGTTTATTGATTTTGCTCAAAATCAAACCAATGAAATTCCTAGGAGGCAAAGAAGGAGAATGCGCTATAGAGGATCAAGAAAGGGTTTGTCTGTAAACCACAGACGAAACAGACAATTACAACTTGAGACTTCAACTACTGTTGCTGTAGTACCAAGCATTCCCCTTATTAATATTGATGATGACATTACAGAAGTATTTGACTCTCTTATTGGTTTGGGCGGACATGAATCCAGTTACAGTGTCTTACCAGGTAAGAAGAGAACAATGATTTTGCATTATACCTTGTAATCACTGCTCACCGTGGGTCGCACTTTTCCTTTGCTTTAAATGAAACTCATTCCACTGTAAATTTAAGTTGCATACACAAACACAGACATTTTAATTCAATGGTAAAATTTTACATGAAAGAAGAATTAAAGTTACTTAATGATATGTAGAGTTCAGCAAAACTCAAACCATAACATTTAGTTAAAGTTGTTCATGCAAACTTAACTCTGCTATCTTTCAGGAATACTCCAATATGCCCCATTTACACACACACAGGCACCCCTTTACTCTGCCAACCCCACAGTCATTGACATGTACAAATGCTTTACATGTTGTACCATCTACTCACTCTCACCCACGGGATCTTATCTAACACTACTGAAGAACAAAAAGGTTGTCCATGCCATCTTCCTTCTACTTTTTTTGAGCAGTGTCTCAGTATGCACATATCTACACCAGTTCTAAGCACTACAAGATTCAGGAAGTTCCAAATTCAGGCATGTGATGATGATAGGTGATCACTTGTTGCCAAGTATGATCATCTTCCATCAGAGTTATGGACCCCAAGGGGGCTGATAAGGTCAAACCTTGAACCACAAGTTCTATTAGAGCCAGGACAGATGTTTCCAGGTATAGCAGGAGGCTGTTGACTATGACTAGAAGTGCCTCTTCCTGCACCTCTTCTCGTCATCAGCATGTCGACAGGCAAATTCAAAATGCAGAGAGGCATTGCGTAGGACTTGTCTCTATTTTGAGCAATCCTGGCCAAGTGTCTCCCAAGTTTCAATGTTAATGTTGCACTTCTTTAAGTTATCCTTTAGGAAATCCTTATAACACTTCCATTGTCCTCCCATGTTACGGTGTCCTTTTAGATGAGAAAACATGACATGTTTTGGGAGGCATTGGTCTGGCATCTGAACACGACAAGTCCAGAAAAGTTGCTGACGGATGATCATTGTCTCAATGCTGATGGTCTCTGCCTCTTCCAGAACACTGATGTTAGTGCGCCTGTCTTCCCATTTGATCTTCAAGATCTTGCAAAGGCAGCATTGGTAATACCTCTCAAGGACTTTCAGATGATGTCTGTAGGTTGTCCAGATTTCGTACCCATACAATAGTGTTGGGAGAATGGCGGCTTGATAGACAAGAAGTTTGGTGTCTGTTTGAATGTTCAAAAACCCTGTGCCATACATGAGCAAAAGCTGCACTGGTACAGCCCAGATGATGCCGGATTTCCACATCAATAACTGTCCTGGATGAAAGACAAATTCCAAGGCAGAGAAAATTACCAACATTCTCCAGTGCCTCTCCATTGATTTTAATAGAGGGCTGATAGAGAACTTTGGCGACAGAGGCATGTAGATTAGGATACCCGGCGTAGGAAAATGAAGCAGTGATTTAAATAATCACCGCTTCATTTAAATTTAAATGGCTGCCGTGCTGAGCCGATCAGCTGTTTGTCAGCTCAGCACGTTAGTCTGGATGCTCCGTGGTCGACATCAAAGGCATTTGTTGACCTCCCCGGTATGCCTCGTGGGATGAGGTTTACCGGGGAGGTCGACAAATGCATGTAGTCTAGACATACCCTTGATGTTGAGGATGAGATCTAGATATGCATAAGTATTAGCAAACACATTCAAGATAGCCTGAAGATCTCTCCAAGAGTGGGCAAAAACTGCATTGTCATCAGCATACTGAAGTTCCTCTATAGATGTGGTGGAGATCTTACTCTTAGCTTTCAGGCTGCTAAGCCTAAACAGCTTTCCATCCATTCTGCAGATGATTTCAATGCCAGCTGGGAACTTCCCAGCAATTAAGTCAAAAATGCCAGCAATAAAGACTGAAAATACAGTTGGGGCAATGATACAGCCGTTTGACTCCTGTTTGTACTTTGAAAGGTTCACTCTGGGAGGCAGTGCTGCTCAGAATAGTTGCTTTCATGTTGTCATGAAGCAGCATTAGGACACTGATGTATATCAGGACATCTAGTCTTCAAAAGTACAGGCCAAAGGGCACAAAAATACAGTTCAAAGGGCACGGTGATTCACTGACTCAAAGGCTTTAGTTAGATCAATAAAAGCCATGTACAGTGGTCAGTTTTGCTCCCGACACTTCTCTTGCAGCTGCCATGCAATGAAGATCATATCTGCAGTTCTGCGACATGGTTGGAAGCCACACTTTGACTTGGGTAAAATATTTTCTGATGGGGCAGAAGATGGGTTGCAAGGATCTTTGTCTGCAATGGCAAGGAGAAAGATACTATGATAGTTTCCACAGTCCATTTTTTCCCCTTTTTTAAAAGAGGGTAACCATCAAGGCATCCTTCATTTTACTGGGTATCTCCTGCTTTATCCAGATTTTAAGGCTAAGCAGGCTAAGCTGCTGAATTAACTCTGATCCACCGTCTTTAAAGATTTCAGTGGGGATACCATCTGGACTTGCTGCCTTGTTGTTCTTCATCTGCTTGATGGTACTGTATACCTCATACAAATTGGGAGGGTCTCTGAGCTCATCACTAGAAGGTCATTGGGGGATTGGCTTAGGAACTTCATCTGCAACCATGGAATTACGATTAAGAAAGATCTTCAAAATATTCTTCCCAGTGTGGTTGCATCCTTTGAGAGAAGTGGGTTCATGCCATGACAAACTGGCTCATAAACAGCTTTAATAGCACTAAAGAAACCATGTGCATTATGGATATCCACAAAATGTTGGAGTTCGTGCACTCTCTCAGGCCACCATTTGTTCTTGAGTTCTCTGGTTTTATGTTGGACTTCCACCTTCGCCTTTGCATGGGCTTCTCTCTTTGTATTGCAATTTATATCATTCTGCCAAGCACAAAATGTCTTTCTCTTCTCATTGATGAGATGCTTGATTTAAACATGATTCTCATCAAACCAGTCCTGATGCTGTCTGGTGTGGTAGCCCATGGTTTCCTCACAGGTATTGATGATTATTGCTTTCAGCTGGCTCCAATGTTCCTCAATTTCTTCCAGAAACTCTGATGGAAATTTTTCTTCTAAGACTGTCTGGAAGTGGTCACACTTACTGTGGTGCTTCAGATCTTGAACCTTCAGCTTGCACCTGATTTGTTTCTTTTGCAGCCTTCATTTGGGGGCGATTTTAATTTTCATTGTGGATTGAATGAGGTGATGATCAGTCGAGCAGTCATCAACATTTGTCATTGCTCTTGTGAGACGTATGTTACTATGATCTCAAGCACGAACTATCACATAGTTGAGAAGATGCCAATGCTTTGAACACGAATATCTCCAAGATGTTTTGAACTTGTCCTTTTGTCAAAAAATGGTGTTCATGATGATGAGTTCATGTTCAGCATAGTTGGTCATGAACAGGATTCCATTTGACTTGCTTTTCCAACTGCTTCTTTCCCAATTGTTCCTTTCCACAGGTCTGAGTCTCATCCAGTGCTTGCATTGAAATCCGCCAGAAGAATCATCTTAACTTCTTTAGGAGTCTCTGATAAAATGGTTTCCAGCTGAAAGTAGAAATCTTTGTTTACATCCTCATCAGCATCCATTGTTGGCACAAAGACAATCACAATAGTTACCTGCTGGTTTTTGGTGAGCCTCAATTGGAGTGCCATAAGCCACTCATTGATGCCTACTAGCAACTCAGAGAAGCACTTTATGATCTTGTACTTAATAGCAAATCCTACTCCATACAATTGAGGTTCATCTAAAAGATTTTCTCTTCCAGAAGCAAGTGTATTCTCCTTTTTCCTCCCTCACCTGTCCTTCATCAGCTCTTCTAGTTTTGGACAAGGCAGCAATATCAATGTTAAACCAATTCAATTCATGAGCAACAATAGCTGTATGTCTCTCTGGTCAGTCACTGTCTGAGTTGTCCATTAGGGTACATATGTTCCAGGTTACAAAGTTGAAAAGTTTCTTACATTTTCAACCACTGGCATGGTGATCCTGCTGGATGCGGTTATCCAGCCAGGAGGAAAAGAAGCAAGACTATTTTAGGGCACTTTTTCTAGCCTCCTCCCCATGTTGGGTGAGCAGAGTGGGTCCTAAAGAGGACTGCTCAGTCATAGGTGCAGCAGATGAGACGCTCGACCTGCTTCAGTCCTCGAGCTAGATGACTGAATCACACACCCACTGTATGTGTGTCGGTCTCTGACTGAGACCTTCCAGATCTCACTGTCCTGTTCCCATCGCCACTGTGCAGGACTTCTTTTAAAGCGGGGAGACTAGTGCACAAGTCGCCACACTGTCCTTAAGGGTACGTCTACACTGCATCCCTAGTTCGAACTAGGGATGCAGATGGAGACAACCAAAGTAGTTAATGAAGCGGGGATTTAAATATCCCGCGCTCCATTAACATGATCTCGCCGGCGAACTAGGGATGCAAATGGAGACAACCGAAGTAGTTAATGAAGCGGGGATTTAAATATCCCGCGCTCCATTAACATGATCTCGCCGGCGCGCTAGTTCGAATCACAGCTGATTCGAACCAGGAAGTGCGCGCCAGGACGCGTTAGTTCGGACTAAAGCCCTTAGTCAGAACTAATGTTACTCCTCAAAAAATGATTCGAACTAGTGCGCCGGCGAGATCATGTTAATGGAGCGCGGGATATTTAAATCCCCGCTTCATTAACTACTTCGGTTGTCTCCATCTGCATCCCTAGTTCGAACTAGGGATGCAGTGTAGACGTACCCTAACAGATAGAGGGCTTGAAACCAATGGCATGGACACCACAACAATTGGACATCCTCTATCTGCTGCAGCCTTCATCCACCTTCACAGCCGCTGTAACATTACACAACAGTTTCATCTTCACTGTACAGTTATCCTATCTGCTCTGCCGTTGAGAACTTCTTGTATCACACTTTGTCTGGAATCTCTCCCTTGCCCATTCTGTCATGGGTGACCCATAGGGAGTACATGACTCCAGACAGTGTCACTCTTGGGGGTCACTGGAACATGAAAGCCTCTCCATCACTACAAAATGAT